TGACTTCACCTGCCTGGCCCTCTGAGCAATTTGGTTTTTTCCCCAATTTTCAAGGAGGTTCTTGTTCCAAACTAGGAGGACCTATATGTGAAACTCCTGAGCAGGTGGTAGGGTGTGTGGATGCAGTGTCTTGTAAGCACTCAAGCATGTAAATTTTTTGAATCAGGACTCTGATTGCAGTGGTGCTGTATTAAGGCAACTCACCCGGCCCCAGATGCTCCAGTCCTCCCTGGGGGAGAGGAAGGGATGGTAAATACAGCTCTGAGTAGAGGATGGTTTGACGAGCCCAGATAGATGGTTGAAAGACTTCCAGTGAGGCTGAGTTAGAATAAAGTTTTTTGCTATTCATACATCGTTGTCTGTAATTCTGTTTTTCCCAAGATGATGGAGGAGGATCTACAGGGATCTTCTCAAGTTAAAGAAGAAACAGACACAACAGAACAGAAATCAGAATCGATGGAAGTGGACGAGAAGAAACCGGAAGTGAAAGTAGAAGCTAAAGAGGAAGAAGAGAACAACGCTAATGGGGCCGCCTCTCAGTCAACATCTCCTTCACAGCCACGCAAGAAAAGTAGGCCGTGTTTCCTTGAACTTTTCAACTGTGCTGCCTTTCCGTCGTGTTGTGATTGCACACTGCGGGTTAAAAACTAAAGCTTTTATCTTTGCTGCCTGCCATTCCCCAAGTTTTACCTTCTAAGAAATGGTGACAGCGAGCTAGACTCCAGCCCGATGGCCCACAGGGTTTATGGTAGGAATGAGAAACGAGCCACGGCTCTGAGGGGCAGCCCAGGAGCACATCTCTCCTCTGAGCTGTCACTGGCTGTGGGGCCAGGGTGGAGGTTGCATCTGAGTCCTTGTGCCTGCCAAGAAGCTTGGGCTTTCTTTACTCGGCAAGCTGTGGACAAGCACGATAGATTTGAGCAGGAGATTGCTTGAAAACCATGCGAGGGAAGTTACCACCATGGCAGAACATGTGCACAGTGTTACAGATGGGAGACTGTGCGCCCAGAGTAAGTGCGCAGTGTGGTAGGGCCCAGTGGCCTCGTGGGGTGATGAGTGAAGATGCTCTGGGCTCCGAGATGTGCTGGCTGAGCCAGTCTCACAGAGGGAGTCGGAGGGAACCCATTGGAGGTCCACCGTGAGGAGGTCAACAGAATGTCAGAACGTTGTTAGGTGACCCTTGCAAATGGGGGATGTGGCTTAGAAGTTAAGGGCTGCTTGTGGCACATTTGAGAAAGACAGCAGAGAACTGTGAGAGGCTGATATTGTATAGTTTTGCCACTGGGAGGGAGAACCTACAGAAGCTTTCAAGTTTTTGGTCTAAGACCTGTTTATGCTCCTAAAAATTGAGGACCCCGGAGTTTTTGTTCATATGGATTATCTGTCACTATTTACTCTATTAGAAATTTTAAAAACATTCATTTAACAAATCTGTTACATGGCATCCACGAATAACACATTTTTATGAAAAATAAGTTTCCCACAACAAACATACTTAGAGTAGTGACAGTGTTTTCTGTACAATTTTGCGACTCGGAGATTTCGGCGGGCGTGGCTAGACTCTCCTGCTGCCGCTGCTGTCTCTGTTGTGCTGCGTTGTTCGGTTCATGCCCCTGAAGACAGCCCCGCCCCACGCAGATAGCTGGTTGATAAAAGAAAGAGTAAGAGCTTTTTCAGATAATTGTGGGTGTTCTTTTTTAATACTACACCAAAACTCAACAAGTGCAGGTTTCCTAAAGATTAGTTTCTGCATGAAGTCTGGATGCATAGCTCTGGGTTCTTCATGCCCAGTGACGTTAGAGTCCATCTGTCTTGTGCTGTGAATGAATCTTTTGTCCTTGTGTGAATTTTTTTTTTTTTTTTAATAACATGATCCTTTGGTCATCTTGGATTTGGCTCATGAGTTACACAGATTTTCCAGATGTCACCACACTTCACTGTACAATAGTTTTAAAAATCACATTGATTAATACCACTGTGAATCTCCTCAAAAAAGTCTTGGAAATTTGGGAAGGCTGTCAAACTCACATGACAGATAAAAGTTCTCCAAATTCGAATTTTGATGTAAGTCCAAACTTTACCATTGGCAACAAATACTGTCAGTTGTCCTTGGTGTCACTGGCCGACTTAGTTCCTTTTTGGGAAAATGTCTGCCACTTGCCCAGATCTGAATACCCATAGCTCGTCTAACCTCCCCAGTCTTCTGTGCTCCGTGCAGAGAAGCAGCTGCCTCCACTCTCAGCTCTGCGCACACGAGCGTTTTCTGTCAGGACCGCTGGCTTCCTGTTTGGTCGTTGGAGATCCAGACGCGTAGCCAGGGCTTGAGAGCACGATGACACTAACGCAGCGTTGGTGCCGCTGCCTGCGTTGTGGTGCCGCGCGAGGGACTCTCCTTGTGGTTCCTTTTACCCATTTGTGCCGGCGTCAGCACGGTGCACCAGGCGGGTGACGGCCTAGTGTTACTGTGAAAATCGTTTTATGTTATGGAAGTAAACTTGGTTGCACAGACTCTTGAAAACTGGATCCAGCCCCATAGACATATTCTGTTTGAGCCACACAATATTTTTAAAAACGAGGAATTACAAATCAAACTCTGAATTTCTGGCTTTTCTTTGAAAATGAGAAGCTCTGTCAGCATTGCGCTTTCATTCTTGTGGCAGCAGTCTGGGTGGGAGCCTCAGCTGGGGCTTGGGCTCCCCAGTTTGCCCGAGTCCCCATTCCTCCCTGCTGGCTCTGTGACTTCACCTGCCTGGCCCTCTGAGCAATTTGGTTTTTTCCCCAATTTTCAAGGAGGTTCTTGTTCCAAACTAGGAGGACCTATATGTGAAACTACTGAGCAGGTGGGTGTGTGGGTGTTCTTTTTTAGAAAGGGCCTGGAGCAGTGCTAGAACTTTCTGAGACGACAGGAACATTACGTGTCTGTGCTCTCTGTAGTTGTCACCAACCACATGTAGCTCCTGAGCACTTGAAATGTGGCAGGTGTGACTGAGGAAGTGATTTTACATCAGGCCGGTGGCTAAAGACAGGAGTTTGGAGCTGCTTTTTCCTTGGCATAGGTGTTTTCAACAAATGTGTAGTGAGTAATGAGCGACTGACCGAAGCGACGTGCGTGTGAGGTTGCCCCTAGGAGATGATGGGCCTGCAGCAGGCTCGCCACAGGCTCTGAGAAGAGCCCGATCGCTCCCCTTGGGCTTCGTGCGCCAGAACGTTTCGTGGTGTGAAAGCCGCCGCAGACAGTATGTGAGCAAATGCGCATAACTGCCTTCTCACAAACCTTTATTTTTGGAGACTAAAATTTGATTTTGTGTATCATGAAATATTATTCTTTTCTTTTTTTCCTAACCGTGAAACACCACAAAACCCAATCTTAGCTCATGAGTTGTACAAAGGCAGGTGGCTGGTCAGATTGGGCCAGTGGGTCCAAGTTTGCTGACCCCTGGCCTAAGAAGAAGGAAAAAGCTATTGATTAAAGAATTGTTCTCTTGGAAAGAGTTATTCAAAGCAAACCAAATGCTACTCCATTACTGTAAAAACAGAATAGAAGAAAAGGAGCTAGCTGGAGGCAGGATGTGTATGTGTTTCGTGAGGCTCCCGTGGGGCACATCTGCTCACCGGCCCCCAGCAGTGGTCCCATCTCTAAAGCGGGATGCAGCAGAACACAAGCGCTGCTCACCGACCTGCCTCTTGCCTTCATAGGTTGTTACGCACGCAACCTTGATTTTGTTTCTCTGTTACTATGTACATTTGTTTGTGAGGTTGTAAGACAAAACCATTTGTGCCAGGTATCTGAGTTTACTCTGTCCAAGGACAGACAAATTTCATCAGAGGAAGAAAGGCCCCCTTCCAGTGAAATGGCTTTATTACCACCCATTGGATCAAGGAAGCAGATTTGGGAGTTAGCTTCATTTTCTGTTGCAGCACAGTTTTAACGTTGGAAACCCTTATTATTGAAGAAGCAAACTTACCAGTGTGATATTTAGCCTTGTGACGTAGAAGCAGTTTTAAAACCCCAATGTAACGGTGTTTTCAGAAGCCCCGAATTGTAGCTTGAGAATGTCCGTGGACTCTGCGGTGAATGAGAGCCCTTGGGAGCTGCACGGCTTGGGGGGCCATGGGTGGAGATGATTGGGACCTTCTAGAAGCAGCCCAGGCTTCCATTTGAAATGTGATGGACAAAGAGTCTGAGCGCCTTGTAAGTAGGGTCACTTCCTGATGTTTTCTAACCATAGTCTTTAAGCCGGAGGAGTTACGCCAGGCTCTGATGCCAACCCTCGAAGCGCTGTATCGACAGGATCCGGAGTCCCTACCTTTTCGGCAGCCTGTAGATCCTCAGCTCCTAGGAATTCCGGTAAGTTAATATAATAAAAAGAAAGCCTTACCAGAGATACTTAGAATATCCATGTTTTATCTCTGAAAATTGGGTAACGAACCCTTGTTTTGAAGATTTTTCTCCTATAAAAAAAAAAAACAACTTTTCTGTCAAAACATCTTTGTCTCATTGATTGGAACGTGTGTTTCCCCACCTGTTCTGTCAGCCCCGGGGGTCCGTGGCAGGGGCGCACTGCCTGCTTGCCTTGGTGCACGGCCTCCGTAGCCTTGCTGTCTGCCTGGGGCTCTGTGTGAGCCTTCGTCTGAAAGGGGGGATTTGAAGAACTGGTGGACACCAGTTAGAAAGCATGTGGGTCTCGTTCTGGTATTTCTGGGAAGTCTTGTAAGGGCCATGGCAACCCCACAGGTTTCTCTTGAGCAGTGTCACTATTTTTGTTACTGTTCTTGTGTTTGTCTTGGAATTTCATCTTGTTTGCCGGGACCAAGAGTAAATCTCTAGAAAAACAATGTCTGATAAATGTGCTTACCTTTTTAATTCAGTGGATTAAAATCCATATTTTTAAAATTCTATATAAAAAAAACATTTTAAACACATTCTTTTATTAAATAATGATATTATTTTGCCCTTAACTTTGCCTTTGAAATAAGTTGGTCACGCTTGACAATACTAATTACAATTTTAGATAATAAAATCAGAGGAAGGTCAGAGACTGTTTTCTCTTTAGTTTCCATTTATTACTACTAAAAATGGAGGTTGTTCTGGGGCTGATTATTCCTGTTTGTTTTTTAAGATAAAGCTGCTACATAAGGCTGGCATTTGGTATTTGGAGGATCCACTAGACTGAGACTATTTTGTCTTTAAGGATTATTTTGACATTGTGAAGAATCCCATGGACCTTTCCACCATCAAACGGAAGCTGGATACAGGGCAGTACCAAGAACCCTGGCAGTATGTGGATGATGTCTGGCTTATGTTCAACAATGCCTGGCTCTATAATCGTAAGACGTCCCGGGTCTATAAGTTCTGCAGTAAACTTGCAGAGGTCTTTGAGCAAGAAATTGACCCTGTTATGCAGTCCCTTGGATATTGCTGTGGACGCAAGGTACAGTTTAAACTTTTTCTGGAAAGTGAACTTCCCTGGTTAATCGAGCCAGAGAGGGTATTATGATGACATGAAAGACTCAACATTTTGGCCACACCTGTGTGCTGGGAAGGACCCAGATGGGGTCTGGTCTTTGGTAAAAACAGTTGATTGCCTGAAGCCATGTAATGGATGATCAAAGCTAGAGGTGCTTACTGGAGAAGACCTTGGGTTATGCCTTTCTGGCTGCCCTTGCATCCATTTATCCATCTATAATAAATGTCTCCCGGCAACTGATTCCATCACATTGAATCCAAAAACGTCTCTAAATAGCTGTGAAAATTGTTAGAAAACTATCCCGTGTGCTAACAAAAATATTTTACTAGCTGAATCTAACTCTCCATAATGAACTAGAATATGATGTGACAGTAACTAGGATATATTTTTAGTATTTTCTCCTTTGTTTTTGCAGTATGAGTTCTCCCCACAGACTTTGTGCTGCTACGGAAAGCAGCTGTGTACAATTCCCCGTGACGCTGCCTACTACAGCTATCAGAATAGGTAAGCCCGAGCCCATGTCCCGAGTTACGGGATGAAAGGAAGGTCTTAGGGCAAGGCGTGTTCAGCTGATGGTAGCCTGGGTACATTATTTCTCTTCTGAAGTTCTAATGAAACGGGCCACAGTTTTAGTGCTACTCACTCAGATAGGCCCTCGGTCTCTTAATTTTAAAGCACCCTTTTACAGTATAAAAATTTAAGCTCAATACTGCTCATTGCACTACTTGAATCAGGAGCATTCATTCTTAAGCTGTGGTCTTTCCAAAATGTAACCACATGAGAAAGAGTCTACAGGTGAGAGTAAGTCTAATAAAGGGAGCTTTACCTTTTTTGAAGATCTTAGTAAAGTGGATACATTGTATTTTACTATTTCGCATGTATTTCCCTAGATAACTTGGCCTGGACAGTCTGATGGAAAGACGATTTAGTGATAATTTATCTAAAAAAGTACTAAAAGCTTTAGACTTAAAGATTTTTTTTTTTTAACTAATAGCACAACACAGAATGAGTGTTCTTGTTGAGTTCCACGTGAACTCTCCTGTCACAGAATGGCCGTTTCAGGGTTTTGTGTGTGGGAGGCGTCCTCGAGAAATCTTTGCCATTCTCTTGAAACGTGAAGATGGCTGAATCTCCTTTCTTAAGCAGAAGAGAATGAAAATAATATTTTTTGTTGCTCATTTGCCATACAGATATGACTTCCACAGTTTTGGGGGCACGGGGGTTGAAAATTAAAGTTAGTTTATCTGTTGCTCCAAGTGGCCCCACATAGCCATAGCGTGAGGGTGTCGTGCCTGGAGGCACAGGTGGTAAATCTCGGTCACATTCAGTTGCTTTGCCTGCATGTTAGGAACAGTGGTGAAATGTATGTGACCAAGATGCCCCTTTGTGCCTCTTCCTCCTCTTTAGGTTCAAGTATTAAGCATCAACATTAGGGTTTGATGTTTTGATTACTTGATCTTGTCTGCTTACAGTGATTACCTATGTTCTCATATTTCGAGGAAGATCAGGAAAGGGCTTTTTGTTATTCAGAGATATGTCCACAGGCCTGAATAATTTGGAATTTTGAAATATTTATCTTCTAGTTGGGCTTTTAAAGTACTTGAACTTTTTAAAAAAATCTAATCATATTTACAATAATTAGTAACTCCCATCAGAATCCTGCTTAAAAAAAGAGAGAGAGAAAGAACTATTGACCTAAAAATGTCTCAAGGTGCGATTTCTAAGCCCTTCCCGGCCCCCTCGTCCTGGCACAGTGGCAGCATGAGATGCCGGTGCTTGTTCTGGGGGAACAGGAGTGTGGCCTGTGCCCCTGTCCTAAAAATACGTTCACGCCTGGACTTAGTTCCTGTCCTGACTTCCCTTTTATCAGTAGGAGTGTTTGAAATAATACCACAGTCCTTCGTGATAGAGTCACTCCTGTAGTGACACGTGCTGTTCTGGGCATTCTGGCCCCGCCAGTGAGTTTTAGCCCCGTGGCGTTCAGCACATCCCATAACGTACCAAGTTTAACACCTTCCCTGACAACCTCGTTTGTCACTTTGTGCCAAATAATGATCAGGAATTCCCTTCAGAAACTTTTATGTGCCAAGCAAAATAAAGTTATGAAACTTCAAGAGAACAGATTTCAGTTAACTATTCCCTGAAAAATGCCCCTGCTACTGGATGCCCAGCGTGGTTTGGGTCTAGAGGGAAGAATAGACAGCAGGTTGTTTGCCACCATTTCTAAAGTTTGGGGCCTTTTCACTGTCCCCGGGTCCGTTGAGACCCTGCCTTTGCTGATTTGCACAGATTTTGGCCATTTTTAAATGGAGAGCAATTAATTTAAATAGAGTTGATAGGATCAGGTTACACTGCTACTCTCCCGACAGGAGGTTTATGCGTGGAGTGAAAACACGGGGTTGTTTTGAAAGCTCTGAAATATCCAGTTTTAGTGTTGTGTAGAATTTTATCTTTACTCAGCAAAAGTAATAATGTTTTTCTTAAGGGTAGAGAAATAAAGGAGTTCTGTTCTGTTAGTGATACATTTTTAAAGTGTAGGCATACTGCTCCTTAGCTGAACCTCACAAGGTGTGCTTCCTAGAATACTGTACTTGGAGAGAGTAACATATTGTCACGCTAAGAAAGCAGTGGCCTAATTACGGTCAGCATCCTGACTGCTGACACTTTTCTTCGCATCTTTGGCTACTTAGCAACACCGGTGTTCTCTTGAGTAACTGTTTTGGCACTTATGGTCCTAAACTGTTTGGGCATTTCGAACAATAGAAAGTCCTACAGACCATTTAAACAAGTGAAATTAATATTTAAACTAACATATGAGTACATTTTCACTTGTTTCCATGCTTTGAAAATTTGAAAGTAACTCATGTTGAGAAAACGGCTATATTGGATTTTCCAGATACTATCTTTAGATGTCCCAGTTATTTGTATATACTGATATGGTACTTAAAACAATCTGCATTTGAAAATTTACTCCATACATTACCCTTATGGATAAACTATGCAGTTACATTGTGCTAACTTTAGGTACCCAGATGCACATCATCATCGGACTATGTGAAGTATTTCTCCGTTGCAATTCCATATTCATGAAATTGCTTCCTTCACACAAGGCTAATGTCAGCAAGGCTCTTAAGATTGAAAAGTGACTTTCTGAACCATTCTGTATTTTTAGGGTGAAAAAGTTTGGGCTAGGTAATAATGTGGGGGCAGCCTGGCATTCCCATCTGTCCCCCACTGATTGCCAAGGTGGTTTCAGCAGACTTGACCAGTGGGTGGCTGTGCCCCTTCTCCAAACGGGTCACCACCTCTCAGGAGGGCACACTGAAGGGCGGCCTGGGCCTTCCCCTCCCATTCTCAAACCCCAGCAGGTTCGATTCTCCATTGTCTCCGATGTCTCCACTTGCTCTGGGACAGGCACTAGAGCGTTAACTCTCTCTGTGCCTCCCACTTTCTGACGCTGAGGTTCTTTGCAGGTGAGAGCTAGTTACACAAAGTGTAGGCTTCTGCCACTGCAGGGCCTGCTCTTGAGCCATCAGTGTTGTGTTCTGGGCCGGTTTCCGCCGCGAGAAAATGGTGGGCTTAAGATTCTTGTTTCCTCGATGTTCCTGGGCTTGATACCCTGCTTGAATAAAAGCTAAGAGTTTGTCCAGGACTTAAAGCCATTTTGCCTCACGTGTAATTATCGTGGTGATTTCGTTTCCAGAGGAGTTCAGCTTTTCGCTCACCCACAGCGGCTATACGTTTGGTCGTAAAATGAATTGGAACAGTCAAGTCCAAGTTTTATTTTCAAAAGGGAAACACTTGCTGTTGAGGGGGATATCTTTTTTGCATATTGCCCTGGTCACCTCTGAATTGGTTTATGGTTTCTGTACTTTAATTCTTTCGTGCCAGTGATGATCACGCCCTCCTGCACTTGGAAATTCTTTTTACCACATGATTTCAAGGCTCCATACGAATATTTATGAAATAGTGATAGCCAGTTGACTCAGGAGAAGAACATATAGATATTTTTAAACAGCAATGTTTGTTCCTGGTCCAAGTTTTTAATCTTGGCAGAATTCATTGATTGAATCATTCTAAATAAACCGGTCCCAGAAGAAACTTTCATTAATCCAGTTGCTACCCACAGTGTATCTGTCATGTTCCTCCTCAACAATTTAAAAGATCGGATCATTTTGAGATGGGTGCATGCTCTAAAGTTTCGTGCTTGTAATTGACTCTGTGTGTTTAGTCAGAGAAGTACACAGACAAAATGCTCAGTGTGTTTAATTCAGACTAGAATTAGAACTTGAGGGGGACTGACCTGAGCAATAACGGAGACAGACGGCCAGCCAGGGGTCTGAGCCTCCGTCCTTTGCAGCCGTGTGTGCGCGTGCGTGAGTGAGCCTGCAAGCTGCCGCGTCGCCTGCGCGTGTCCGTGTGGCGTGGCGCTCCAAGTCTCGTCACAGTGTCTTTAACACTAATCCTCGTGGCATCTTGTAGACGTAGTTTTGAGCACTAAAACCGCATTTGACTGTGCTGCTGCCACTACCTTCTACTCCTCCTTTCCGCTTGTATCATTCACCTCCCTTCGGCTTGTTTATTTTGACAGTACTCCTGTGTGCCCATCTTGTTTTATGCAGCATTAGCCTGCATTTTTGTTGATTTCTCATGCGTGTCCTTTCCAAACATTTAATAGTTTTTAATTGTTCTTATTTGATACTTCGAGCCCAGGCTCCATATTACCTTTCAAGAAATTGGGGTGATGGATAATTTCTCAAATGCAGATTGTGCTTTAAAGATCAACTCTCTAAATTTGCTTAACTTGGATTGTCACCAAGTCAGCAGTTAATAACTGAGGATCTCAGATTGGTGAACGATTGGTCCCATTACCAAAAAGTTTAAACCAAAGCTTAGAATTGAATTTTAAAAGTCTTTAAGATTGTTCATGGATTTACATATATTGTATTGTTTATACAATATATCTCAGCTTTTTTTCTTTGTACGTACGTACTGATAAATGGCTGGAAAGTCTTTGACCCTGACTGCATTTCTGTTAAATGTTTGTCTAGAATATGGATTTGGTTTCATTTGTATTATAACCCAATTAACTAAGTGATTAACATGAGGAAAAATAACAGGAAAAAATTAAAACGAGTTCTGCGTGCTCAACATTTTTAGTACCTTTAAAGATCTGGCTTACTACCGGAAATAAAATCTGTGAATTGCTGTCAAGCATAAATTTGCCATTTTGAAAAATAATTGCTTTTTTAAGGCCTTTGTTAGACTATTTTGTTCAAAAGTGAATTTTTTTCCATCGCAAACCCTGGAGTTATATTTGATTTTCTCTAAGTAATAACAAAAGTCAAACTCCTAAATTGAGGCTCCTTGCAATTCTAGTATTAACAACTCCTTGAAAACGTTTGCATCTCGGAGCTGGCCTGAGCCCAGCCGTTGTTAGCGATGATGGCCTGTGATGTGTGCAGTGAGACCGAATGCTAATCAAGCTTTGCCTTGGCTTTCTGCTCTGTGTTGTCTCGGTGTTTGCGTCTTACCTCTATGTCTGTGCTATCTGTTCCCTTCCCTGTTCTCTAATCCTGCCCTTCCCCACCTGCCCCTGTTCCTTTCATTGTCCTCACTGACCCATCAATCAACCAACAACGCCCCCCCTTCGTCGTGGTGATCTGCCCTGCTCTGATTGGTGGCTTCGTTGCTTGGGTGGCTGTGTGTTATGATGGACCAGTTCACCCAAGTATGGCCTTCTTGCTGACAGGTATCATTTCTGTGAGAAGTGTTTCACAGAGATCCAGGGGGAGAATGTTACCCTGGGTGACGACCCTTCACAGCCTCAGACGTAAGTACTATCCTGTCATTTTTCTCGGGGTTGACTCTTGTTTTTTGCCTCTTGCCCATGATTAAAAGGGAAGCACCTCTGCCATGCTGCTGCATTTTTTCATACTCAACTACGCCCACGTTCATACTTTGGAATGCAGCTCTTTAGCTGAACACCAGGGCCACCTCCATGTTCTCCCCTCCTTTGAAGACCGTGATGCTGTAGCCCCCACTGCAGCTCTCTGGTCTCTCTTGACCTTGCTCTGTCTCTTCTTTTAAAATACTTAGCTTTTCCTAGTGGTGGTCCTCCTCCGTTTGGGGAAATTGTAAATTTTCAGTTACACCTCAGAAACCAGTTCACCCTTTTGACAGACCTGGCAGTAGCGAGAAATGAATCTTGCGTACATACCCCATCTTCAGGTTTCATTCCATCTTCCACTGAAACCTCTGTCCTAGAACGCAGACCGTGAGACCCCAGAGAGGAAACATGTCTCCTTCCTTGCTGGAGCGGTGGCTCTTGCTCATGTGCTCTGGCGTGCACAGGCATGAGTTGGTTCATTCATTCCTTCACTGAATTCGCCTTTGAGTGGTCACATAGTCAGAATGTGGCCAGAAAGAGCAAATCCACTCATTTTGGAGCTGAATGGTCAACTCCTTTATATGCTTGAGATACCAAAAACCTGGCAGCCACCGTGTCTACCCAGGACTGCCAGCATTTTGTGGTTCTCTCTTTTCTCCTGACTCTGCTGTGATTCCTGCCCTGCTGGGAAGTCTGCTCGCGGGACTGTCCCTACAGGCAGGAGGGCTTCCCACCAGAGCAGCTTCCAGCAGTCTAGGACACGGACTGCACTTCACATTTACTATTTCCAAACACAGAACGAACTGTAGCCACTCATGAGACACATAAACTGAAATGCTTGAAATTCTACATAATTTATTTTTATGTCCCTTGTAATCTTAATTCTTTGGTCCGATTATGTGATTGATAATTGGATTATACAGTTCCATGAATCAGAAATAATTCATATATACACTGATCATAACAAAAAGACAGTATAGAAACCAGGTCTTCGGTCCTTTAAGAATAAATAAAATATCCCCTAGTAGATGCTGATCTTGTGTCATCTAATTCTGTTGTAATTAGAAGAATTGAATATGCCAATTATCCATCAGATCCAGGAGCCATTCACCATACAGATTTGATTGAAATATAGGTTTGGATCTCAGATTAAGTGCTGGTGGTAGTTGGGAGGAAATATCCCAAGGCAGATAGAGAAAAACAGATGGTAGTGCTTTCTGTGGAGATAAATTTTATATGTTCATGCCATCATTACATCTACTTGAGATTTTGGCTGACCATTATTTACTTTTTATTTGAAAAAAATAGTTACAAAATAATATCCCACAGACCCTGTAATTTAGACTCAGCAGATAAATTTTGTTAATTAACGTTTCTCTTTTTTCTTTTCTTTTTTTTTTTTTTAAACAAGGACAATTTCAAAGGATCAGTTTGAAAAGAAGAAAAATGATACCTTAGATCCTGAACCGTGAGTAGATAGCGATTTCTTTCTGACTTTTGGATTTTAGTTTCCGATCAGGAAAATCCCTCCTCGTGACTGGCCTGCAGGAGAAGACACTGTTGGAACATTGGAAATAACGTTGCCCTGGGTGGGATTTTTCTGTATGAAGTTATTTCAGATACGGATTCTTTTTTAAAACTCTGACAAAACATGTACGTCCCTGTAGCATGCTCTCCGGTTAACTGAATTTCAACAGTGATAAGATTAGATGGATGTTCTCGTTCTGTCAGAACTTCTCTGATAAGCTGGTCATAAGGCATAAGCTGTGGTGGTAGTTAAGGGCGTGGCTGAATAAATAGGTTTTGATGTCCACGCATGTTGGCAACTAAGAGTCCCAAGTGAGGTGACAGGGCCCAGGTGAGGCAACATGGGGGCTGCTACGGAAGTGAGCGGAGCCGTGTACCCCTGCTCTCTGGTGCTTACGTGAATAAAGCCCGGCATTTACCAGTCAGCTTGACACTTCCCACCTTTGTAGCTGACTCCGGGCAGATGCTTCCTGCGCCTAGGCTTAAGAGCAAGTGTTTCTGACACTGGAAGCATTGTTCTCTGTTATTTGAGGCAGTTTGGGCATGTGCAGTCACCAGTGCAAGCCCTGGTCTTGAAAATGTGTAGTCATGTCAGAAATACTGGCCTGTAAAATCCGCCTCTATCATAGCAGTTTTTGAAAGTAAAGTTTCATTTCTGGTTGTCAAGGAGATTGGGAGAAGCAAGGGATAGGCATTTGTACAGAGAAATGGAGGAAGTCCGCTTTCTCATAGAAAGTATCGATGCGACTTGATCTTGGAGTTATGAGTTCGAGCCCCACGTTGGGCGTACAGCTTAACCTTAGAAGAAAAAGTAAAGTAAAATGTAGCTGAATCAGTCGGCAGAAGCATTAACGCCACAAATGCTGGCAGTGATGCAGAGGATGAGGTGCGCATGCGGTACACAGGCTCCTACAGACGACCCCCTTGCGTGCTTCCATGTGCGTTAGAGCACTCTCTCTGTCTTCCAGTTTTGTTGATTGCAAGGAGTGCGGCCGGAAGATGCATCAGATTTGTGTTCTGCACTATGACATCATCTGGCCTTCAGGGTGAGTAGTTTCCTGGTGATTTCCTATGATCCTGGGGAAGGGAAAGCCTCTCTGCCGGGACTGGAGAGGGGGGCATGCTGCTGGGCATTGGCTATTGCCCGTCAGCGAGGGCCAGCAAGGGGTGGGGGGTGGGGGGGGTGGCAGCCGGTTCTCAGTTTATTTACATCGTAAGTATTTGCCTGCTTTAGGGATTGTAGACTCAAAGCAGCCTGCCTCTTCACTTGCGAATAGTGATGCCAACGAAGCACTTCCCAGCTGCGTGTCGCTGGTTTGGCAGCGTAGGCTATTTCATACACTCTGATCACACCCGTTCTTTTTTTACAGCTTTGTGTGCGACAACTGTTTGAAGAAAACTGGCAGAACTCGGAAAGAAAACAAGTTCAGTGCTAAGAGTAAGTTGTGGGAGGGCTTCTGTCTCCCCGTCTGAGTGTGAGGCGCTTGTCCCCCTTCCCGGTCTTCCTGCAGCTCCTCTCCGTGTGCGGCTTGGGGCTCCCTTGTCCGAGGCCCTGTACTGTGAGTTCATTTTCCATACTTTGTACTTGTCCGGTCTTACCCCTCCATGGAAACACTGGACGTGCTCTTTACATGAAAACTAGCTTTCTGGTCAGTTCATGTTTTAAATGAAAGTTTAGAAAGCTCAGATATAACGTTAAACTTTGTAAATTCTGAGAGAAAACTTGTCAGCAGATCCTTTTCAAGTGGCTCAGAAGTAAGACCTCCCTGCCCCCCAACACACACACGCACCCCACTCTAACATCCTGTCGCGACCAGCGTGCTCAGCCCTGGGTGCGTGTGGGGCGGCCACTGGTCCATCGGCCGGCGTGGCCCTCAGCCTGCTGGAGTCGGCCGCCACCGGCCGGGACTGGCAGAGCCCCGTCTGCATGAGGACTTGTGAGCGTTGCTGCTGCGTTTAGGGTGGCTCCTGGTGTCTCTGCACAGTAGAGAGCAGCCTGTTGCTACACCAGGTAACTCTTCCTGGGCAGTCTTGACTCTTTCAGAGATCGCATTCTTTTCAAAAGTGTGCAATATGAGATTTTCGTCAACTTGGTTCTCGAGGGCCAGGGGCCACCTTCCGCAGCATGGCGTCCCTGAGCTGGCCTTTGCTGAGTTCACAGCGACCCTGAGTGAGAATGCCACCCGCGGTGGAGCCTTTACAGCTTGCTTGTCCAGCGCTCCCTGCAGCTGTCACCCTCCCCAGCAGGGCAGGGTGTCCCCAGCAGGAGCCAGGCCATCTGAGGATCAGGGAGTAGGAGCGAGATGGGATGGAGAGAGAGATCCCACACCAGGGGGAGAAGAAGAAGGAGAGCAAGCAAGGAGGAAGCCACTCTGTGGGCCTCCAAGTCATTGCTAATTCAGGGTTAGACTGTCGTTACCAAAATCCATAGTTACCCTATAACTTAAGCTCACTCTTGTGAAATCTTTTGAAATACGGATGAACTCACAAAACATTGTAATATTTCTCTTCAGATCAGGGTTTCTCAACCTGAGCCACCATTGACATTCAGGGCCAGGTAATTCTCTGTTTGGGGGGCTGTCCTACGCTTTGTAGGATATTTAAGAGTATCTCTGGCTGCTACCCGCTAAGTGCCAGTAACACAAACCCCAGTCCCATGAGTGGTCACCTTCAGAAATGTCTCTGAACATTGGCAGATGTTCCCCAAGGAGAGCAGAGTTGCTCCCAGTGAGAACCCCTGCTTTAGAGGGTCCATCCAGGGTGAGATCACTAAAGCAGTCAGCAAGCTAGAAACACTTTCCTGGGCCAGAGCCTCGTGCCCAGAACACAATTGCCAGGAGAGCTGGGCCCGGGTCAGAGAGCAGTTGCAGCTGGTAGCGGATGGGGGCAGAAGAACAACCCAGGAGCGGGTCTGCGATGAGAGCCTTTAGGGTTGAAGATGGACAACACTCACTGACAGAAAACCTTCGAAGTCTGGCCACCCGGCGTCGTTTGGTGTGGACGTGTGGGCACAGCCTTTGCGAGGGTCTGTAGGCCCCAAAGGACGGGCTGCCTCATTTGCATTGGTACCAGCCCCGTACCGCTGACGAGTGGGTGAAGCACGGTCAACAACTGACTGTCCCCCACTCCCTCCACCCCTCCCTCCCTGACACCCTGCGCTGTGCCCAGCCCGGCCGGATGGAGGGAGAAGGAGAACCACCAGAGGTGCTTCCGAGTCAGAGTCCCTGTGTTGGGTTGTGAGAAGCCTCCCTGGAAATGGGACAGCTCCGATGTCGGAGAGCAGAAGGCCAAAGGATTTGATCACTGGGGGAGGAAGGGGGACTGCAATCTAGTGTTCGTTTCCAGACTCCGCGATTGCACTTGTGCACGCGTGTCCCACGACGTGTGTGTGTGTGTGCAGGCGTGTGTAAGGACGGCCCCCGCAGCGTGAGGAGGAGCCCTGGGACGTGAGAGCGAGGCAGAGCTGTGTGTGCTGGACACAAGGGGCGTGATGCTCCCCGAAATCATTCTGCGGGGACGCCTCTGCACGAGCCTCTCCTCTTTGCCACAGGAGCAGCTGCTCTCCTGGGGGCCCTCAGCACCTTCATAGCGCTCAGTTTGGTGCCTGCAACAAGATTGTCATATATGGTCTCATTTAAAGCCTTTTTTTTTTTTTTTTTTTTAGTACAGGTAATTCAGGTTATTTGAAGAAAAAAGTAAAGATCTAATTTTAAAGGTTTATTCTTCCGTTTGCTATTTGAAAACCACAGTACGTAGGGTCCTGTGTTGAAAAGGGAAGGGGAGTAAGGGGAACCAGACTTGCTCAGCAGTGGCATGAGGGGGCCCGCGGGGGTGGGAACGGGAGGGTCTCCTCCAGAGGCTGCTGGGGTAGATGTGCCGGCCCCCAGGCCCCTCTGCACCCGACTCTGTTTCTCGGGGAGGCTGTCGCAGCCACGGCGCTCAGCAGAGCTTCCATGGCTGCGTGGAGGGCACGCCTTCGTCCAGGTGTGAAATCCACTTTTCCCCTCAGTTTTATAGCTTTTCAAGTTTTAATTTTTCTGTGGGGTTTTTATTTCATATTCATGTCGTGTTTTCTTTTTAAATCACTTGCATGCAGGTATAACTTAGATACCAAAAAAAGCTCCACCGTTGTTATATTAATTGTAGAAAAATGGAATTTAGAAAGTCTAAATTTTCTAGATACTTCTTGGCTTCAGTAAGGAATCTTAGGAAATCCCAAATAACTTTTTAAAAACATTTCTCATCCACATAGTAAATATTTAAAAATCAGTAAATATAAAGAAGAAAATGTCTTTCAAATCCCATACCTGTAACTGTTAACCTTCTGCAGCTTTTCCTTCTCGTCTTTTCCCCTCCTGCGAAGAGTTTTTATGCTGTGACCAATGTTTTATCTGGGGGTAGCTTGCTGGAAAAGTCCTGTCACGGTGGCCACACCTGGGGCATCCCCAGGAGAGGGAAGGTGTGGAGGGGGTTCAGGGCTGAACTGGGTTCTGGTGCTGTGTGAGCTCCTGCCTGGGATGAACTCGCAAGGCTGCATGCTGGACTCCTCTGAGCTGGGCGGGAAGGGGAGAGCAGCCCTGCCCTCCAGAAAAAGCAGTTTCTCCGCTGTGGATTCTGGCTGCGGGCACAGCTCTGACACTGAGCAGCCACGTGGGGGCGCCCGGGGCCAGATCGCGGCCTCATCCGGGCCAGGGCAGGGGAGGCAAGAGGGGGCTCAGCATGGCCCCTGTGTCTGCTCCTTCCGCTTTACCCCACAGTCCTCAGTCGGCCTTCATGGCTCTTCTGCCCTTGCAGCTAAAAAAAGGTGGAAATATGTGGGCAGTTAAATGACAGCACTTGTCAGTTTAAAGCACCTGAGATTCCAGAGTCCACCTTTCACTTACATGCTTACCTTGTAGGACAGACTAGGTCCCTTCTGGATTTGGAAAACATCAATCCTTAGAAAATCAATCAGACTGCACTAGGGGCACCGGTGTGGCTCAGCGTCTGCCTTCAGTTCAGGTCATGATCCCAGGATCCTGGGATCGAGCCCCGCATCAGGCTCCTTGCTCAGTGGGGAGTCTGCTTCTCCCTTTCTCTGTTCCCCCTGCTTGTGTGTGCTCTCTCTCTATCTCTGTCTCAAATAAATAAACTTTTTAAAAAGAAAAAATCAGACTGCACTATAAGAAGGGTGGGTCCTGTGGCCTCAGCCACCTTCTACATAACCCATCCAAAGCCCCCTCACCTGTTTGTTCTGGACTTTGCAGGACTACAGACCACACGATTGGGCAACCACTTGGAAGACCGAGTCAACAAGTTTTTGCGGCGACAGAATCATCCTGAAGCCGGGGAAGTCTTTGTCCGTGTGGTGGCCAGCTCAGACAAGACTGTGGAGGTCAAGCCCGGGATGAAGTCACGGTTTGTGTGCACACGTTGTGCTATTTTGTAAAGCGCTCTTTGAGGGGTCCTGTACCTGGTTAACCAAAGCCCTGCTTTCTGGCACAGCTTTAGAGTTTGTATAATTCAGGGCGCCTCGCTGGCTCAGTCAGTAGCACATGCGACTCTTGATCTTGGGGTTGTGAGTTCGAGCCCTACATTGGGTATAGAGAGTGCTAAAAAAAAATAAGCTTAGAGTTTGTATAATTTAAAGGTTTTTCAGCGTGTATGGTACAGTCAACCCTTCTCTCAGTATTCCATATTCATAAGGGGAGGTAAAATTCCTGGCTGAGCAAGACTGTGTCACGAAAAATAGGGTCACAGCCCCGAGCTGCCCAAGGCCAGGCTGGTGGGCAGAGCTCTGGGCCAGCAGTCAGCAGAGGCGAGCAGGCCTCCAGCTCCTCTGCACTGTGCATGGGCTTAGAGCAGCAGGCCTCATTTATAAAGCACCTTGTAAAACAATGACGTGTGCAAACCTCAGGCTCTGACTTTGATTTCAGGTTTGTGGATTCTGGGGAAATGTCAGAATCTTTCCCGTATCGAACCAAAGCGCTCTTTGCTTTTGAGGAAATTGACGGAGTGGATGTGTGCTTCTTTGGGATGCACGTGCAAGAGTATGGCTCTGATTGCCCCCCTCCAAACACAAGGTAGTCCTCCTTCTCCTCTTGGGTACATGTCAGTGGGCCTGCGGTGTCACAGCGGACTGAGACCCTAAGTGTCTTGTTGGAGAACCTGTGTGCTCCAGACCTGGGTTTAAATCAGATAAGCCACGCCTAACAAACCAAACCTAGTTAGTTGAGTTTTCCACTAAGCCAGTGAGAAATGAAGGCTTTTGATGACTGTTTAAAGTGTGTTTTGTGTAGTGAGTACTCATGGGTTCCAGTCCTGGTCTTGCTCTTGTCCCTGTCTTACCTGGGGCAGGTAAACCTACAGAGAGTGGGGTGGGGATCACTCCATGGGCCCACGTGTTGTAAAAACCAAGTACCTCTGCCAAGAGTTATTTCACATTCAGTCAAGAATCCAGGTGAGAGGGAATTGGAAGAGGCTTTGTGTTAGTTTGCCCTGGCCTTCCCATGGCTCTCCATCGTGGGCGATCCATCGCTCTTGGCCCAGGGATGGAATTGTTTATTCATGGGCAGTGGCCCTTGGTGATAGGAGTTTTCTTAGGTCTTGTCTGCATGGACAGTGTAAATGCTGTGAAAACAGAATTTATTTCTGGAGCTTTTTTTGGATGTTGGTGTTTGGTTTCAAGTTTGGGGGATACCAATTAATTTCTTCCCACCCACCCGTCAGGCGTGTGTACATATCTTATCTGGACAGTATTCATTTCTTCCGGCCCCGATGCCTCCGGACAGCTGTTTACCATGAGATCCTTATTGGATATTTGGAATATGTGAAGAAATTGGGGTGAGTTTAATTCAGATTATTCAGAACTAATAAAAATTCTATTTTTAATTTTCACTGTGTGTTTTGTGAAATAACCAGAGTATCTTTTAAAGCCGTATGTGTTTCTATTTTAACGTCCTCAGATCGATTCAGAGTTCTCCCTAGCCCCCCTCCTGGACACTCCCCTGGGCCATGCAGATCTGGGCTCCCCAGCACAGCGCACATGCTTTCTCTGCCTTCTGTGCTCTTCTCACTCTTTTTCCTATTCTAGTCTCCTTTTTTTTTCCTTTTTAACTTTTTTGAGGAATATTTTATGTATCATAAAATCTGCCTGTGTCAAGTGTACACTCCAGTGATTTTTAGTAACTTCACCGAGCGGCACGGCCTGGCTGTCAATCCATTTCCAAGCGTTGTCCTCCCCCCAGTAGTGGGACCCCCACACCCATTTGTTGTTAATCCCTGTTCCACCCCTGCGCCCAGCAACCATTGATCTACTTTCTTTCTATATAAATTTGCCTTTTCTGGACATTTCATATGAATGGGACCCTACAGGATACTGGTCTTTTGCATCTGCTTTTCTCTGTGTTTCGGCATTCTAGATCTGTCGTATCCCTTCCCAAATTTGAAAAAGTTAGAGGTATTTGACTGACAGGTGTCTAACAGCATGACAGATTATTTTGACTTTGGCCCCTTAGAGATACTCAGCTCCTCTCCATTGCACAGGAAGTGATAGTTAGGAAATGGGGCACATCCCTGGGCATAAGCCGTTCCCCGCGCCTCAGAGCCACGTCTCCCGGGCTCTGTCCCGTGCTGACAGGATTCCCTGGGAGCCTTGACCCTTGCCTGGCATACACACCCTGAGAAGGAGCGTCTGAGGGCTGATTTCCAGGTGTGCTCTCGCATGCAGAGATTCGGCCTCGCCCACCCATGCACCCCTTCCCCCCCGCCACTGGTTTAGAACTTCTCTAAGCCTGTTATATTTGGCTGCAAGCATCGTGGAAATTTCTTTGGTTTTTTTTTTCTAGTTATTTCTGTCCTTGCTTTGGTGCCTGCTCCTCAGCTGTTACTCCTTGGAGGCAGGGAGGCTTTCACTCAGCACTGTGGTCTGAATTTGTGTGTCCTGCAGGTATGTAACAGGACACATCTGGGCCTGCCCCCCAAGTGAAGGAGATGACTATATCTTCCATTGCCACCCACCTGATCAGAAAATCCCCAAACCAAAGCGCCTACAGGAGTGGTACAAGAAGATGCTGGACAAGGCGTTTGCGGAGCGGATCATTCACGACTACAAGGTACCTGGGGCCGAAGCAGGGCCTGGCGGCTCATGCATGTCAGAGCTCTGTTCACCTATGAGGAGTAGAAAGCAAAAAGAAGAGCGTAGAGAAAAGGCATAGAAGCACCTTACGTGTAGTCGCCGTGTCCCATCCTCACACAGTGGCACGGCCTCTGGGCCCCTCCCCGGAGCACCACTCACTTCCCTCTTTGCTGTGCTTCCTTCACTCTCCAGGACATTTTCAAACAAGCAACTGAAGACAGGCTCACCAGTGCCAAGGAGCTACCCTATTTTGAGGGTGACTTCTGGCCTAATGTGCTAGAAGAGAGCATTAAGGAGCTGGAGCAAGAAGAAGAGGAGAGGAAGAAGGAGGAGAGCACGGCGGCTAGCGAGACAACAGAGGTAAGGAGACACAGCGGGCCCAGCCTCGCGCCAAGGACAGTGGACACACACCTTCTTTGTCAGTGGGGCTGCTTTCACACGTGCTCTCCCCTTGTCACCAGCCACCGCAGGTCGGGGCTGGAACTCGCAGGGCAAGCTGAGATGCGGTGCTGGAGACACGACGTCACCCGGGAGAAGGCAGATGGGAGGTGCTGGGTCTGGCATCTGTGAACGGGGCAGGCGGGGCGGAGGCTCGGAAAGACGAGAGCGGAGGGCATCCTGCCCAGCAGCCCAGAGCAGGCAGACAGAGCCCCGTGCTCGCAGTCAGCAGCCACTAACTACAGACCTTCCTTGAGAAGGAGAACCTCCGGCGTCAGGTCTCTCCCTTTCACTTCCTCACGAGCCAGCCCACCCCATCAGACAGCCCTCCATCTGGTGTTGCCTTCGGGCACTCACCTGCTTACTAAGTCCCACCTCACCTGGGCTCCGTGCTCAGCAGTGCAGTGGTGAGCTGTAGAAGACCCCATCCCTACCCTCCCAGGGCGCGCGTTCTGGTAGGGAGAACAGTGCATCCAGAGGCAGCAGTAGGAGCTGTAAGGAAAGGGAGCACCGAGATCGGCCAGGTGCCGGTGCTTCCGGTGGAGCCTGTCTGGGGAGGTGGCTGGGGAGGTTGACCTGCTGAGAAGGAACCCACACGGGGTTCCCTCCCTCCTGCCGGTGGGAGGAGGAGATGTGTGAGGGCTCACGTTGGGAGCAAGTGTGTGTGTGTTCGGGATGTCCAAGAAAGGATGGGGGTTTCCGTTCGGTTCATAGCTGTAGAAGCAGTGGGGAGTGTATGATGTGTTTTGAGAGTAGCAGCCCCAGAACGTGGCGTGGACCGTTGTGGTGTGTGAGGGACATCCTGGATCAGAGCTGCCTGCTGGGTCTGGAGCCCGAGCATCTGAGTCAGCGCTGCCGCCTCTGCCCAAAGGAGGAGGCTAGGGAAGCATATTTGGAAAAGAAGTCCTTCAGGAACTGGCTGCCAAGATGCCTGTTAATGCCAAGGGGCTGTGCAAGACGGGCCCTCGGAACTAGGGTCTGCTGCGGGGGTCCTTTTGCTGGGGCCTCCCTGGAGGCAGGATCTGTCATCTGACCAAAGATAACGATACTCCCGAACATCAGGGGGTTTAGGGCTCGAGAAACCACTCCGCCGGGGTCTTTGGGAGGCGACCAGAGATCCTGTTTAGGTGGGCCGAATTTGAGTAGAAACCAGGGAGTTCTGGCAGGAGAGAGCACAGAGCTGAGCTGTGAGCCCAAGTCCTTCTCTGTGTCCGCCGGTGCCCACACCTTGGGTGGGAGGTGGCCTGAGTCAGAACATGCATCTGGGGCTCCAGGGCAGGGGGTCACAGCAGGGAGAAGAGGGTCTGTGGCCTCTGAGGCAGGACACAGACTCCAGCTGGGTGTCCTGTCCGAGGAGGACCTGCTTATCTCTGGCCTGGTGGTGGTGCCTTACCCGCCTTTGCGGTGTCGGGGACTTGCCCGCGGTATCCAGTCCACAGAGGCAGTGGGCAGGTCCCACCCTGTGGACACCCCGGGATCCCATGGCGGGCAGTGGCCTCAGTTGTTGACGGCACGTGGGCCGGACTGCCGCTTTACCATTGGCAGTGTCCTTCCCTGGGGGAGGTGGGGAAGGGATAGGCTGCAGCATCACGTGTGTGACCCCATCTCCGGGGGGAGAACTACCCGCGGGAGCCACGCATAGGTACAATTTCAAGAAGAAAAATCGGAATGCTGCTGCTCAGGGTGGCCAAAAAAACTTTTTTTTTTAATCTGGCTATATATTCTGAACTTTGTGCAGTGAATCTATTTCTTTTATAACTTTTTGAAAGTCAGCTTAGTTTTTAGAACGGTTTCAAGGCTTACTGAAAACTCGAGCGGTATGCAGAGCTCCCTGTACCACGCGGTCCCTCCGTGGCCGCCTGGTGCTCGCGCAGCCCGCGGCGGCACACCACTCTTCACCAGGGCCCTCTTCTGCCCCGGGCCCCAGACAGGAGTTGTCAGCGCCCCTCGGCACCCAGAGCATCTGTCCCTCTCTCTCCTCTTGTTGAGAACAAAGTTCATTGGACCAGACCTAGGGCCTAAATGACAGAGGGCCCGAGTTCTTTCCAGACCTGAGGGGCAGGACTTCTCAACCTCAGTCCGCTGGAGAGCTCAGGGTGGGGGTTTCAGGCCCACATGGCACCTTCTCCTGGCACCGTTCCCCCGTCTTGTGTGCAGTGGATGTTTGGAACCATGTGCAACGGAGCATGCGGCACATGGTGTGGAGTGGTATGGAGCAAGGGAAGATAGCTTGGACCCCCTGCGTTGTTAGAGTCCATCCTGGGCGTATGCTCCCCCGAGAGATGACCTGCCATGTGGCCGGTCTGGCCCCTGTGTCACCACTGCACCCCTGGCCCTGCTCCCGTCCTCCTCACCTCTGCCTCCGTGACGCCTTCCGAAGGCAGCCGTGTGTTTGCCGGCACGCGGCCTCCTGGAGCCCCCACGGCCAGGGAGCTGGGTGCCTCAGCCAAGTGCCGGGCACGGAGGAGGGGGGCTGGGCTCGAGCAGCAGCTTCGCGTGTTGTTTCAGGGCAGCCAGGGCGACAGCAAGAATGCCAAGAAGAAGAACAACAAGAAAACCAACAAGAATAAAAGCAGCATCAGTCGAGCCAACAAGAAGAAGCCCAGCATGCCCAATGTGTCCAACGACTTGTCCCAGAAGCTCTACGCCACGATGGAGAAGCACAAAGAGGTAGAGACACGGGGCCACAGATCAGGGCCCCTCCTGGTCTGTGGGATCAAGGAGAGGGGTTGCTGAGAAGCCAGGGCCCATGGGCCTTGTGGAGAGGGCCCTGGGCCCTGGAAGGCCCTGGAAGGCCGAGTTGCCTCGCTCCCCGTGGGGGCTAATGCTTTCCTCCCCTGCAGGTCTTCTTTGTGATCCACCTGCACGCTGGGCCTGTCATCAACACGCTGCCCCCCATCGTTGACCCCGACCCTCTGCTCAGCTGTGACCTCATGGACGGGCGGGACGCCTTCCTCACCCTCGCCAGAGACAAGCACTGGGAGTTCTCCTCCTTGCGCCGGTCCAAGTGGTCCACACTGTGCATGCTGGTGGAGCTGCACACCCAGGGCCAGGACCGCTTCGTCTACACCTGCAACGAGTGCAAGCACCACGTGGAGACGCGTTGGCACTGCACTGTGTGCGAGGTAGGCCCCACTTCCCTCCCTCCCCGGTCACTCCCCGCCCTCGCCTCCGTTGGCGCGGTCTGCGTTTCAGATTGAACGGTGAGATAGTCGGCATTTTCCAGGGGCACCAAATGACCAAATGAAAAAGGCTCATTCACCTCCTGGTCCTTTCCGGGAGTTGTTGGTCATGAGGTTGGTGTTTCCTTGTTCACAAAGAAGAGAATCCGTGCTCTGTGCCCGCTCTAGGCTCAACAGCAGACGTTCAGGGTAGGAAGGAAGGAGCCTTTCTCCCTTCAGGGAGCATGTATGGTCCCGACCCTGCTGAGCATAACAGAGGGCCATCTATGTGTGTCCGGGCTACACTTGGCCCCTGGCAGGAGGGTCTGGTCTCCCCAAGAGGCAGAGGAGTGGGCAGGCCTCCTGGGGGGGCAGTGTTTGTGCTGATTTTTTCAGAAGACATGATTACAGAGCACTTTTATATTATTCCTTGTTGTCTGCTAACACCGGCCGTGTGTCGGGAACATCCACGGGCCCTCTGGTGCCAGAGTAGGAGCCAAAAGAGGTGCCGCCTGTGCTTCGGCCCCGCCAGGATTCTGACTGGTTTCCCCTGTTCATGCTTCCAGTTGTATGTAGCCTTGCTGAGCAGCTGAGAAGGCGCTGTCCTGGGGGACCTGTGGTTGCACACACTGTGTGAAGGGGTGTGGTCCGTCCCTTCCCCAGATGGGTCCCTCCATCCCCCCACCCCATCCTCGCCTTGCCAGTGTCTGCGTTCCAAACGGTTCCCAGAATCACATGCCCGTAGGAGCAGCTCTGTGATCTTGGGCAGAGGGGGCGGATGGATCCTCTGTAATGCCTTTGTCTTCACTTCCCGGTTTTTTCAGCCTCCTTGTGTCCTCTGTCACTTCCCACTGTTGGGATCTTCATGTTCTTTTGGAAAAAGGGTGTGTCTCGGTCATAGGGTTTCCTGCTCCAGACCTGGCATTTGGTAGTCTCTGTCTGCAGATACAAGCAACTTTTAAGAAACCTGTGAGCATGCGGTTTGTCGCTGGGGTTTGAGCCCCAAGGCCTGTCTTGTGGTGAAGGCCTCTCAGTCCCCCAGGCCCTCTGGGCCACCCTGCAGAGCTCGGGGGCTGCACCAGGGCACCCAGCAGCAGCCCCAGGGAGTGGGGGCCGGTTTCTAGAAACTCAGGTGTGTAGCACTTGGGTGAGCTCAGGAGGAAACTGCCAGGCTTCCCAGGCCAGGTATGGGAGCAGGGCCTCAGTGGTGTGGGTGCCCTTCCCCAGGGGCCGAGGAAGGAAGGAAAGGGGACTAGATGTGAGCCAACGCACTCAGGAGCCTCTGAGACCGTGGGGGGGGGCGGTTGTGAGGCTGCCAGGGTGGATGCGGGTGGACGTCTGGTCCCATGGGGCCTCGTGCTGACCGCGGCGCATGCCCTGTGCTTATCCGCAGGACTACGACCTTTGCATCAACTGCTACAACACCAAGAGCCACGCCCACAAGATGGTGAAGTGGGGGCTGGGCCTGGACGACGAGGGCAGTAGCCAGGGTGAGCCGCAGTCCAAAAGCCCCCAGGAGTCGCGGCGCCTGAGCATCCAGCGCTGCATCCAGTCCCTGGTGCACGCCTGCCAGTGCCGCAACGCCAACTGCTCGCTGCCGTCCTGCCAGAAGATGAAGCGGGTGGTGCAGCACACCAAGGGCTGCAAGCGCAAGACCAACGGGGGCTGCCCGGTGTGCAAGCAGCTCATCGCCCTCTGCTGCTACCACGCCAAACACTGCCAAGAAAACAAATGCCCAGTGCCCTTCTGCCTCAACATCAAACACAAGCTCCGCCAGCAGCAGATCCAGCACCGCCTGCAGCAGGCTCAGCTCATGCGCCGGCGGATGGCCACCATGAACACCCGCAATGTGCCTCAGCAGAGTCTGCCTTCCCCTACCTCAGCTCCGCCCGGGACCCCCACGCAGCAGCCCAGCACGCCCCAGACGCCGCAGCCCCCGGCCCAGCCCCAGCCCTCGCCCGTGAGCATGTCACCAGCCGGCTTCCCCAGCGTGGCCCGGACTCAGCCCCCCACGACGGTGTCCACCGGGAAGCCCGCCAACCAGGTGCCGGCCCCGCCGCCCCCCGCGCAGCCCCCACCAGCCGCAGTGGAAGCGGCCCGGCAGATTGAGCGGGAGGCCCAGCAGCAGCAGCACCTGTACCGGGTGAACATCAACAACGGCATGCCCCCGGGGCGCACGGGCATGGTGACCCCGGTGAGCCAGATGGCCCCCGTGGGCCTGAACGTGCCCCGTCCCAGCCAGGTCAGCGGGCCCGTCATGCCCAGCCTGCCGCCCGGGCAGTGGCAGCAGGCGCCTCTGCCCCAGCAGCAGCCAATGCCGGGCATGCCCCGGCCTGTGCTGTCCATGCAGGCCCAGCCGGCCGTGGCCGGCCCGCGGATGTCCGGCGTGCAGCCGCCCCGGAGCATCTCGCCCGGCGCCCTGCAGGACCTGCTGCGGACCCTGAAGTCGCCCAGCTCCCCGCAGCAGCAGCAGCAGGTGCTCAACATCCTCAAGTCCAACCCGCAGCTGATGGCGGCCTTCATCAAGCAGCGCACAGCCAAGTACGTGGCCAGTCAGCCCGGCCTGCAGCCCCAGCCCGGCCTGCAGCCCCAGCCCGGCCTCCAGGCCCAGCCCGGCCTGCACCAGCAGCCCGGCCTGCAGAACCTGAACGCCATGCAAGCCGGCGGGCCCCGGCCCGGCGTGCCTCCGCAGCAGCAGGCGATGGGAGGCCTGAACCCCCAGGGCCAGGCCCTGAACATCATGAACCCGGGCCACAGCCCTGGCATGGCGAGCATGAACCCGCAGTACCGGGAGATGCTCCGCCGGCAGCTGCTCCAGCAGCAGCAGCAGCAGCAGCAGGGCAGCGCGGGCATGGCCGGGGGCATGGCCGGGCACAGCCAGTTCCAGCAGCCCCAGGGACCCGGAGGCTACCCCCCAGCCATGCAGCAGCAGCGGATGCAGCAGCACCTCCCCATCCAGGGCGGCTCCATGGGCCAGATGGCGGCTCAGATGGGACAGCTCAGCCAGATGGGGCAGCCGGGGCTGGGCGCAGACAGCACCCCCAACATCCAGCAGGCCCTGCAGCAGCGGATTCTGCAGCAGCAGCAGATGAAGCAGCAGATCGGCTCCCCGGGCCAGCCGAACCCCATGAGCCCCCAGCAGCACATGCTCTCAGGACAGCCGCAGGCCTCGCACCTCCCCGGCCAGCAGATGGCCACGTCCCTCAGTAGCCAGGTGCGGTCTCCGGCCCCTGTCCAGTCTCCGCGGCCCCAGTCCCAGCCTCCACATTCCAGCCCGTCGCCACGGATACAGCCCCAGCCTTCGCCACACCACGTCTCGCCCCAGACTGGTTCCCCCCACCCAGGACTCGCAGTCACCATGGCCAGCTCCATAGATCAGGGACACTTGGGGAACCCCGAACAGAGTGCAATGCTCCCGCAGCTGAACACCCCCAACAGGAGTGCGTTGTCCAGTGAGCTGTCCCTGGTCGGCGACACCACAGGAGACACCCTAGAAAAGTTTGTGGAGGGTTTGTAGCATTGTGAGAGCATCGCCTTTTTTTTCCCCCCTTTCATGTTCTTGGACCTTTTGTACTGAAATCCAGGCATCTAGGCTCTTTTTATTCCTAGACGGAACTGCTACTTCCAAGCCGTGGAAGGGTAGATTGCTGTTTAAAGAAACAATACAAAGAATATATTTTTTTGTTAAAAACCAGTTGATTTAAATATCTGGTCTCTCTCTCTCTCTCTCTCTCTTTTTGTTTTTGTTTTTTGTTTTTGTTTTTTTGTTTTGGGGGGAGGGGGGTTTTGTTTGGATTCTTTTTGTTGTCATTGCTGGTGACTCGTGCCTTTTTTTAACAGGAAAAACAAGTTCATTATATTCATATTTTTTATTTGTATTTTCAAGACTTTAAACATTTATGTTTAAAAGTGAGAAGAAAAATAATATTCAGAAACTGATTCTTGAAATAATGCAAGCTTATAATGTATCCCGATAACTTTCTGACGTTGCGGGAAGATTTTTTCTATAGTGAACTCTGTGGGCGTTCTCCAAGTATTACCCCTGGACGATAGGAATTGGCTCCTGCGTGCACACACGTACACACCCACACACACATCTATCTATACATACTGGCCTAAGCCAAACTCTTGTCTTGCAGATGTAGAAATTGTTGCTTTGTTTCTCTGATAAAACTGGTTTTAGACAAAAAATAGGGATGATCACTCTCTTAGACCATGCTAATGTTAATAGAGAAGAAGCATTCTTTTCTTTCTTCTATGTGAAACTTGAAATGAGGAAAAGCAATTCTAGTGTAAATCATGCAAGCGCTATAATTACTATAAATAAGAAAATTCAAGAAGATTCAATCACTGTATAGAATGGTAAAGTACCAACTCATTTCTTATATCATATTGTTAAATAAACTGTGTGCAACAGACAAAAAGGGTGGTCCTTCTTGAATTCATGTACATGGTATTAACACTTAGTGTTCGGGGTTTTTTGTTATGAAAATGCTGTTTTCAACATTGTATTTGGACTATGCATGTGTTTTTCCCCCATTGTATATAAAGTACCGCTTAAAATTGATATAAATTACTGAAGTTTTTAACATGTATTCTGTTCTTTAAGATCCCTGTAAGAATGTTTAAGGTTTTTATTTATTTATATATATTTTTAGAGTCTGTTCTTTGTAAGACATGATTCTGGTGGATTGCTCACAGAGGAGAGGCAGGGACCACGGTCCTGGTGGCCATGTGGGTGGCAGCCAGGCTCAGCCAAGGCCTTGGGTGGTTCTCTTTCCAGGAAGCAAGGTGGCCAAGCTCAGTGATGGCCTCATATATTCAGTGCTCCACGGGGAGCTTCACCCACCAAGTTAGGGCTGCAGGTGGGTCCGAAGCAGCACTTGGCCTCCTGTCCTCCTCAAGCCTCGAGAAACCAGAGTAGGGATGGTTCCTGCGATTGCTGTCAGCAGTACCTACCCTCCCCTTTCCTATATGCAAATCCCAGAATTGGTGCAAAATCTGCTCCAGGGACTGGAGGTGGTTCCTGCTTCCCCCTAAATCCTGTGCTCCGTATGGGAGGATGCTGCACGCAGCGTGTCCTGCTGTGGCCTCCGATGCTGCGCTGGGCAGCTAAGAGCTCTGGCCTTCGCTCTCCACCCTCTAGAAACAGGGCCTGTGAGGGCAGCACTGTGGTGAAAGAGCCCTCCAGCTTCGAGGGATGGGCACTTGGCCACGTGGTCCCACACACCACCCATCACCACCCCGCCTGCCCCCCCCAGGTCCACAGTCAGGTGCCCTTACGAAGAGGGTGACACTCGAGTCCCTGGATGCTGTAAACATCACGTCGGAGCGGAGGAATGCCTCCGGGGAGCGTGGATGTGTGCCCTCTAGACTGCAACATCCCTTCCCCACCAAGCACAAGGGACTTGAGTCCTGCCTCTTGTGTCCCTGGTCCCCCAACCTGGGGGGGAGGGGGTTTGTGGTGGAAAATTTAGAATTCATGGCCCAGATGGCTTCCCTTGTGGCCCTGTATTCACAGAGATCATTTCAAAATACTTGATTTGGGAATCTAAACTTGAGGAAACTTTGAAAAAAATTAATTCTAGCACAGAGCTTCAAACCTTGAATTTTAACATAGATTATGCCAGATAATAAGACCATCTAGCATTGCCAACCAACTGCCACCTCCTCCACATCCCCAAAAGGGAAAGCAGGGCCATGGCCCTCCAGTGGCCATCTGGCCATCCTTGCTCTGCTTCCCTGCTCCGCGAATCTGGGACCCTCCCAAATCACCCTCTCCACTGATGTTAAACCCTGACCCCGTGTTCAGACCGAAGGGGTGAGCCATCTGGAGCCCTGGAGGAGCGGCTCCAGGCCCATGTTACATATTATGCAGGGCAGCCATTTAATGGGGCCAGTGGGGGGCCTCTTTTTCAGGTCGTCCTGGGATCCGAAACTCTGTGTACAGATCTCATCTTTTTGGAGTCCACGTCCTGTGTAATCCGCCAAGGGATGCGGCCGAGGGTGTGGTCGGTGGATGCTAACCCCGCACTTGGCGTAAGGAGATTTCTGTAAGACGGCTGGAAAACCCCGGCGCTGTGTCTCATGCTGTATACTTAAGAGGAGAAGAAAAAAGTCCTATATTTGTGATCAAAAAGGAAACTTGAAATGTGCTGGTGTTTATAATAAAAGCTGGTAAAACTGCTTGGATTCAAAGATGGTCCCAGTTGGCTAACGACCCTTAGAATTAGCTTAGCAGCTAGTCTTCGTGAGATCGAAGGGTCTCGGTTGAGTGTGCCTAGTACGTGTGTTTGATGATGATTCTGAGAATTTAGCATGTTGAAAACAGGAGTAGGATGCAATCTCTGGAAAACGAGGTGGAGTGTCTTCGGCTTATAAGATCTCAGGCTGAAGACATAACTTTCTCCCCTTTTTTTTTTTTTTTTTTTTTTTTAAAGATTTTATTTATCGTTGGCCTTAGCCTGGTAAATATATTTCTTATCTTCCATTTTTTTTTTTTTTTTTTTGATTGCTACAAAATGGAACCGAAGATTTCGTTTATGCCTGAATGTGCTTCTAGCACTGCCCGGGAGAGTAAGCTGCTCCGAAAAAGGAAAGTCCTTTCATGGAGGAGCTGAGTACAGACTGGTCACCATCGCACCTTCGGGACGCACGTCACCCAAGGACCGTGCTGGGAAGTCGGTGCTCCAGCCGGGCCACCTTAGCAAGTAGGGGTGCAGGAGCACGTAGGGATGGGGGCTGGAGAAACCAGATTGCACCTTCCTGGGATGTCTTGTGTTCGTCGTGCCACTGCATCACTTGGGTATGATTTCATTGTGCAAAGTCAGGAGTAGGGAAATGGGTCGGTTCTGAAACGTAAGCGAATGTAGCCCCCAGGCTGGAGAACGAGACAGGAGCTTTGGTGATGGTGAGGCAGGCGGTGTCTTCAGTGCGCGCACGCCTTCCTCCCGGGGATTTGCCAGGCTGTGTGGACGGTGGCACCTGTGTCAGATTACGGCACCCAGCGGAGAATCCACAGGTGCTGACTGAACACCTTGGGCTGATTCAGACACATCGGGGGTGTTGAGTGAGCGGGAGGCAAGCGCACGGGAAGTGGGGGCCTGCGGGTCCCGGTGGAGGGATGGCGAGTGGGCACGTCAGCGGGGCAGCCACCAGGAGCCAGGGCCTTGGTGGGGAGTGAGCTCTCTCAACCCCACCTGCCTTCCTCGGTGACACTTGGTAACACGTGTTGGAAGACCCCACTAGCTCCTCCGTCCTGGCTGCGAGGTAGGACAGTGGAGGACACGTGGGCAGGGGCAGGTGTGGGCCGCTCAGCCAGAGCCACGCTCTTCACCGCTGGTCCCGAAAGGAGCTTTCCTCCCCTACTAGCTCCGCAGGCTCACCTTGAACTCACTTTGGGGATACCTTGAGGAAAGGGGGGTGCATGACAATACCTCTCACCCCTCAAGCGTCGCAGATGGGACCTTACACAGGACTAAGTGGGAATTGGCCTGCCTGAGTGTGGTGCCCACCGGTTCAGCACCTGGAGAGGGCTGTTACTGAAATGGGCTTTATGCTCTGGTCCCGGGACCCCAAGGAAGCCTCTTAGAAATGGATGTTTAAAGTGGTCCTATATAGGCATATCAACAAAGTTTAGACTTGAAGATCCTCAAAGCCAGTAGTGATGTTTAGAGAATGTTCCAGGTGAGGGTGGACTGTCAGGAAAATGTCCAGAGAGGAATCCTTGGAAGGATGGTGAGGCATGGTGTGCCGGGGCTCCCTGCACCAGGAAGCTTCCTGTGTCTCTGACCCCACACAGGACTCCTTCACGTCTGGCACAGGTTTGGGAGCCTCAGAAGAGGGAGGGTTGTTTCATGTGCTGCCACAAGTTGAGCATCTGGAGGCTGGGCAGTCAGGGAGGGAGAGTCTTGGGGACAAGACTGAAGCTGGGAGGTGCAGAGAAAGAGGCAGCAGACTTGAGGGAGGCCAGGGTTCTGCGCGGGAGGTAACCGGAGTTGCCTGGTGTTCAGCGGCCAGAACGAGTTCTCCCCTGTGAGGGCTGGACTTCCGCAGCCGGAAGCACAGAGGACCCTCCGAGCTTCCAGGGAAGTCAGTTCTCGCTGTTCCCAACCCTCTAGACACTGGCGTTCTGGTCTCTGGTTTCCTGGGTGAGGAAAGGGGGTTCTCTTGTGGGGAGAGGTCCACGAGTGTGAGAAATGGCAGGAAAGACATGAGTGGGCCCCAAGCCGAGGCCCCCTTCTCTCCGGAACAGGCAGTTGGAGGGGTGCACACTGCTGCCTCTAGATGACAGGAAAATATGCAGGTCTTGTCCAAGCACCGAGTTTGCTTACTCAGGAAGCATTTACCGAGCAGATCCTAGGCACGGATCCCAGCCCTTGGGGAACTCCACCAAGAGACACGATCAGCCACTGGAGGAAGGTACAAGGTGGTGCCAGGGCTCGAAGCCGGAGCACCGACCCCAGTTTGTGCTGGGAACAAGAAGATGTCTCTTTGTCAGGGCCAGTGAGAGCGCAGTGCTGGGGAGCACGCATCCTCCTTGACACGGCCCTGTGCTCAGAGAAGCACTCCCCCAGCTCTGACCCGCAGACGGCTTACCTGAGATCTTGCTAACACCCCGATTTAGTAGGTCTGGGCCAGGGAGTGGGCAGACTGAGCTTCTAGGTTTCGAATGAGCTCCCAGGTGAGGCCTGG